AAGCCAGCCACGGCGTGTCTGGGCTTTCCCGCTGCCCGCGTGCTCTGCGGCTTTGCTCAGTGTCTCCCTGGTCTCCCCCACCCCCAGCAGACCAGGGAGACGCGGAGCAGCTTTTCTCGCCCCGGAGGACGTGGGCGGCGGGACCACGGCGCATCTGGGCGTCCCGCTGCTCCCATCCTCCTGGGGGAGAAAAATCCCATTCGTAACTGCGGATCCGACATAAGTCGGATCCGCGTAACTCGGGGACTGCCTGTACTGTAAAATACTCAGGAAGCCTGAATGATCTATTCTCATTTTTCACCTTCATCCACTAATATGAGTGTCATTTTAAACCTGTTTCTGTAGGACGCAAAAGAAGGTCATCAATAATTTACCAGAAGGAAATGTAGCCATGGTAACTCTTTGTCTGCTTAGAAGAAATAATTCAATCATATAGTTAGAGGTTTCTAGATCTGTTTTTCTTTCCTGACAATCAGCTAGAGACCTTGTCTAAAAGTAGTGGCAGTAGAAACAAGTGGAGTGACCTATTATAGGATAATTTAACTGGGGATAAGCTAGTCAGTGCACTTGTTAATTACCCCAAGAAAAAAGGGGAATCCACACATTCAGATATGGACCTAACCTAAAGTTAGAATTTACATTCAACAGCATCCAATAAACAAGGCCTGGTCTACACACAAAAATTAGGTCAACCTCGTTACGTGGTCAGGGGTGTGAAAATTCCAATCACTGGCTGATTTACCTATCCTGACTTAATTGCTAATGTAGACACAGCTATGTCTTCTTATGTCAGTGTAGCTACTGTCATTGGGAGAGGTGGTGTTCCCAAAAACAATGGGGAAGAACCCATTCCCTCAGTACAGGATGTATCTAAATGTGGTATTGCCAGCATAGCTACAGCAACATAGTCTATATCAGAGCTGCTCAACATACAGCCCACAGGTCGCATGCAGCCTGTTTGTTTGCAGCCCTCAGTGCACTTTGGGTTTATGCAGGGCTCCACATGCGGCCCACAGGTGGGATCCTTTGAACATGGCCACCACTGGGAATACACTCCATAACAGCGAGTCACTATAATGGTCTTCTGTTGATATGCATTTTAGTAGTAATATGCATTCCTGGACTGTCATTGCTGTCATATGGGTGAAAATCGGGTAAATATTGCATTTTATTAATATCAGCAGAACTGACTTAAATGGGGCCTGTGTGTTGTGTAGTCTTGCCTTAATCTTTGTATTCATGCCTGTCAGTGTGAAAGAAGATATTTGCATATATATTTGCATGTATATGCAACCACACTTAAGTTGTGGCCCCCTGCATGTGCTGTGAGTATCACTGTGGCCCCTGGGGCTTCCAAAGTTGAGTAGCTCTGGTCTATATGTTGGTATAGTGGTGGTATAGTCTCCATAATGCAGACATGCCTAAAAACTTTCATTTACAGAGCTCAAATAACATAGGGTAACAATATGTATATTTTAGTCAAACACATGCTTTGATAAGAAAACAGTTGTTTCCTGGGGAATAATTACAAATCTAGTTGCTAACAACCTGGAACAAGACTTTAACCCTTGGCCTGCCAGCCATCATACAAAAATTATCAGCCTGCTATACTTCTGTAATGCGAAATCTTAAATTATCTCCCTCTATTTTGTGACACTGATAGACCAACCAACCTAATGACTCATAGGCTACGTAATTTTCCGGAAATGCTTTTAACGGAAAAGTTTTCCATTAAAAACATTTTCGGAACAGAGCGTCTAGATTGACACGGATGCTTTTCCGCAAAAGCACTTTTTGCGGAAAAGCGTCCATGCCAATCTAGACATGCTTTTCTGCAAAAAAGCCCTGATTGCCATTTTCGCGATTGGGGCTTTTTTGCGGAAAACAAATCTGAGCTGTCTACACTGGCCCTTTTGCGCAAAAGTTTTGCTCAAAAGGACTTTTGCCCGAACGGGAACAGCATAGTATTTCCGCAAGAACACTGACAATATTACATGAGATCATCAGTGCTTTTGTGGAAATTCAAGCAGCCAGTGTAGACAGCTGGCAAGTTTTTCCGGAAAAGCAGCTGATTTTCCGGATAAACTGGCCAGTCTAGACACAGCCATATTGTATGACCCATGATAATTTAACAGGAGGCATTACAACTGTAATCAGGTCTATCTACTTGGATATGATTTTCAGAGATGTACTAGATAAGCAATCATCAACACATTCATTTGTAGTAAAAGAAATCAAGGATTGATGTTAAATGTGTTTTTCTGTGTTTACCTCTTTCTTGTTAGAGGTTTAAAAATAAAACTGATTAGTTTGTAGATGCTAATCCATTCTAGGGATGTTAAATGGCATTTAATTAGCTAATTGACTAGTTGATGGAATTTCCATCAATTAGTTGATTAATTGATAAGGAGGAAAAACTGCAGAGCTGCAGCAGGGTTAGTTCCTGGTTCCGTAAGCCATGCTGCAGCTCTGCCTGTTAAATGTATTAAGAGCCATCTGACTTTTAATACATTTAAAAAGTACAAATGCAGGGGGGAACTGGGCACAAG